TTTCCAGGGAAAATTTAACGGGGTTCCCTCGCTTTACGTTGTACACCAAAGCTGAGTTTAATGAGGTTTTCCCGCAGAGAAAGCTTCGAGCTGGTGCAGTAGAGCAGCAGGATGTAGGAGAGTTTGATTTAATAACCAATACATGTCAACTGTAAAGTTTACTGCTGAAATATACAGGGCAGGTATACTTTTAGTATCACTCACGAGCGACCAAAGTATTGTGATTGATATTATGTTCAATTTATGGAAAATCCATGTTAGTCAGTCAGTCAGTAGCTTAGTCAGTCTGCCTGACAGTATGCGACTATTCACATTTCTGAAAATTTATTTTGGATCATCAGTAATTTGTTTAATGGATGCTGTGGGTATTTTTGTTACTATCGCTATAAATGGTAAATGCTCTCCGAAGAACGATGTAGTACAGCCCAACCATCGCGTTGTCTAATAAATAAAATGAGCAACACAATTTCATTTTTTTTTATTTATTTATAAAGTAATAATTAATCGTTGATGAGATAATCATAATCGTTATCAGTAGTAGAATTAATATTCAAAGCGATTCCTCCGATTTGGATTTGAAGAAGTCATCTATATTCATCATCAAAGCATTTTCCCGTAAATCTTCCTGATCTCCTAATGAAGGCCAGGACTATTCCTTACGGCCCCAAATACCCAGCCTTTAGGTATAGATAGCATCATTTATTTCGCATAATGGGGACGCCTGTTTAGCCTATAGTGGCTGATAAGAAGTTCCACCAGCGCATCCTGCGTTTGCGGGGCGTACTGCTAACGTCTTGGTCTGCCTGCAATCGTCTCTCTTTCGCTACGCTGTTCCCAGGTCCTTAATCGTCCATTCGTTCAACGCAGCGTTGACGTAGCTCCTACTTATACCCAGCCTAAGCTTGCGACCGATATAGGTACTTCTGGACCCCTACTGTTACCGGGCACCCCACTGTGTATGGTGACCCAAATGAGGATCGAGCTAGTGTTCTGAAGGACGGTGGTGCATTCCTCGATTAAACTTGAGCCTCTCTTCGAGGATGCCACTGCCTTGAGAGCTGCTTCACTGTCGGAACATGCTCCGCTCAACACGCTTTTGAAGCTCCTCTGAATATGCAACCATTAAGAGGGCGAGGGCTTGGAAGACTGTTGTGTAGGTTCCAAGAGCCAAGCTTTATCCCCGCCTCACTGGATCATGTTTCCTTGGAAAACGATCCTCCGGTGAAACACACCAGGCCTTCCTATTCTTCCCTCGCAGGGATGATGGGTGAGAATTATAAATCTGGCCTTATGGTGTTCTTGGCCCTATCCACTCAGTACAGACACATTCTTGAGTGGCCAGCCACCGGTTTTCGGTCACTCACGTATCCTTATCACGAACCCCTAGGTATGCCGACACGGCCTCCCGCTTTATGCAGATCTAAAGTGGCAACAATCCCAGGACAACGTCAAGGGCCGCTGAAAAGGCTGTGCTTGTCGCTCTAGTTAATCTATAATATTCCGATCTTGGCGGGCTTACGGGAAAATAATTGGTCCACAAGGCAACGCTTATGGTCTAAGTGAGATAGAGTACTGAAGATGGAAAATTTTGTAGTACCCCTTTCAGCACATCTATTCCGACATCGTTGGGCAAGTGACAAGTCAGTGCGGTGTCTTGCAAAAAGCGAATTTAATCGTTCAATTGAGCAACGGTGAAACAAAGGTACAGTTGCATGCACGGATACCTACAACAACGATCGATCAATTTTGCAAAAACAACGTCGCCGTCTTGGATTATACTGTTAAACACAATATAGACATTGTATAATCGTCATTGTATAATCAGTCAGTCAGCAAAAAATGCCGACGATTGGGAAAAAGGTAGAAGAAAATGTCGTTCTTATCATTTTGCAAAACTACATTATTCAAAGAATACTGTGTAATCGGTGTTCAACAAAAATAAGTTATGAGGAATCGTGGCAATCAGAATGGTGCAGTAGAACCGACAAATTATGGGTGTTGCTGTATATTCCAACATATTCCACATCCAAAGCAAATATCTTGTACAGCCGTGTATCGACCCGAAATCTGCACTTCTGGAATATTAATGATACTCCCCAAACAACTAACGGTATTCAAGATTTCATACTGTACTGTTTAAATAATATCATATTGTTTTGATATGTCATACGAGTATTCTTAACCTGTAGTCGGCCTGGAAATATTTCCAAATGTGTGATTTGGAACTTGGAGGATTCAGTTGTCATTTTCCAGTTCTGAAACGAACGTGATTTCTGACTGTAACTTTATTTTAAACATTGTTGAACTATCTTCAGTATAATGCAATCAACTTTAAACCAAATGAAACAGAAAACATGTCAATGTTTCTTCTGCTACTTACGATAATGATGTCTGAAAGGGGACGAGACCTTGGGACATGATACCACTGATTTATGCCCCATCAACTAGTCGCCTGACGAGTAGTTCTATAAAATGTGTCACTCTAAATTTATATAAAATAATTTGTGTAGTTTGTTTAGCATGCTAGAGCGAACAATAGATATCTGGAAAGCTATCTTAGGCATCATTGACCACCAAAGTGCACTACACAGGCGAAATGAGAAATAGAAGGACTTTCTTTTTCATCAGCTGTTGCTGTATGTAGTACTACAGTGAAATTAGGTATTGGACTGAAGGAATCGATATACATACAAATATGAATAGTTTTTTCAATGTCGTACGGAATGTGTGGAGCTTAGCTTTCCTAAGGCAATACTATTCATCCTATATCTTGCTGACACACAAAAATTGGATGAGAGGGGACCATTGCTTCATGCAATGCTATATTGGTATCGAAGATCAACAAAAGTTGATTGTTAACACGTTTGGGGTGCTGCCGCTCCGACTACATTATTTATGCTGTCCGACAAGTCGATGACTCTTGTTCTAACAGAAAGTATCGGGACACTTTCGCACCGGCGGGCCGTCGGCGACCTAGCTCTTTTATACCGCTACATCAGAGCTCTCTTCCGTGATGCCGCCGCGGGATGTGCCTGCCAGACAGACCCGTCTGACTTTGGCGTCCCATCCTGATCGTGTCGAACTTTGTACATCCAGTACTACTAACCTTAGGTAGTTCAAAAATCGGATTAACAAAATTTCTTTGGGATTCTCATAGCAACCGCGGTGTCTCAGCATCTAGGCGCCTGTGCGGCTGCTTCGGTATTGAAAAAATGGATTAGGTGATTGAGGACTGTCACTTGCTGTAAATTTTCTACAGTTTCAATAGAGACTGTCGACATTGTTTCTTCAAGCATTGAAATATTTATATCAAAGGTCAACAAAAGATAAACCCAAATGGCACGCTCATGATAAACAAATTGTCACAATGACAGTGACAAGCATAAATGTGGGAGAATCATACGTTGACCTGAAAATGTTCAATGAGGTGAGTCAAAACTGAAAAAAGAAACGTATGGCTGTGAACTTACTTGAGCAAACATTTGCGCATATTGGCCAATTGCGTACATATATGTAAGACATGAAAGATTGAGGTATGAAAGTAATTCCTGCAGTTTTACTGTGATCCGCCAAATACCGTGAAAATACATATGTATAAAGTTAATATTACAGAAGCTGGTGGAAGGAACAGGAAAACGAAGCTTTTCGTTCGTAATTTCTAATTATGGTGACCATTTTGCCAATGAAACTACAGGTAGGTAACGTTAGTGACATTTTGGTTGCCACGGCTTCATTCACAGTACAGGAAAACTAGTTTATGGAAAATATCTATCAGAATTCTCATTGGAAGACACTTACTGAAATGATCAGCTCACTATAACGAATATGTAAATTTAGGGTGAAAAATTGATGCATCGACTATTGTATTTCAGCGTAAAAGTGGCAGGTTAAAATTTGGCTTTTGCGTATCATCGGAATGAGGTGTATTTGAGTATTTCACAAATTATAACCCTAGAATATCTTCAACATTATTTCAAAATGGCGGACTTGCAAATTGTCCTAATCTAAAAACAAAACGGTTTTTCGCAATTTTTGACGCGGTATTTTGGAGCGAAAATGCTGTTGGGTTGGAATCGATAGAAAGGGGAGAATAATTAGAACAACAAGGCTGCATTTGCAAATTCTTACAAAGAGTACTATGTACTACTCTGCAATAATAATAAGAGTGTTGTAACTTGTCATTCTCATGGCTCATTGTTTGCTTACTTCATTTATATTTTAAAAAATGGCATCAACCAGTTGGACTCTGCACTTCGCACGCCTTTATCCATAAGGGAATATCTTCAGAACAAACTAGACTATCTGATAAAAAAGTCAAACAGGTTCATACAATTAGTCCAAAGACATACTTTCCCTGCCCTACCGGTAGTTCATCTGAAAACATACTCATGCAACCTACCCCTGTGTGTGAACGTTTGTTCGGTAAGCTCAAAGACATACATTTTTTAGTTATCAGTTTTCAATATAAAATTGTACAATGCCCGGAAATACGATCAATGGAGAAGGCCGACAGCTCGTGCTAAGTTTATTAGAGTACTCGTATTTCCAGGAAGAGAATGAAAACAGCGTTTAGGAAAATTATTTTATCATCAGTTAGGTAAATTCAGATCCACCCATGGTACGGATACTCGATCTGTTTACTTATTTCATATGTCGTTGATGACGTAACCACCAAGAATGGTGACTACAACTATACTAGCTCTCCAAGCGACGATTATACAAGGCCAATTTTATTGGGGGTAACTTACACTATCTTATATATATATATATATATATATATATATTTTCCATAATCGTGTAGATATAAACTGTACTATATAGAACAATCCCGTCAAGGTAGGTATTCAAGAATCGCTAGGTTACCGTTACGTGTACAACATACGTACTGACACCATTTATATGCTCGTGCTCGTGCCTCACTCTCCATTGTTTCTTGACATCAATTAGACATCGTACAGATTTGGTCATTTGAGAGTTCATTAACTCGTATTTTTTTCCAGACTATTATGGTGACAATTAATCGAAGCGAACTGCCTCTAATTATAATAATAAGCGTATTTTTGGGGGAACTGAAAGATGGAAATGGTTATCATAAATTATCCAACCTTAATATCTTTGGAAGAATGGAGTTAAGTGTGCCCGACATATCGGTATAAATTCTTTTCCAAAATACGAGCGTAGTTATATTCCCAAAATAAAATTTAACTCCATTGAAAGAATCAGTGTTAAAGATGGACATAGAATCAGTTATTTTTTATATTTTGTACCCTTTGATTTTCCATTGACAGAAAGATCAGCGAATTGAAGACTTTAGAAAATCGCATCCTTTTGAAGATACAAGATACAGTCTTCTCAGAATAAATGATTATTAGCACACCACAAGCAGCTTGACCACAAAGAAAGTTCAAATGGAGTACATTCAAGTAGAATCCAAGGTTTCAACGTTCTGTTCATAGACCGCCGAATTCGTTCAGATACACCAGGTTCGTTTTTTTTTAATTAAATCCAGTAATTAAGCATTTTATGAAAACAAATAACTTCGGATTACCTCATAGGGAATAACTTAGGAAGATCAAATCCAGAGCTTGATCATGCTGCGTGATGACCTATTCTGCGAGTTTTTGTTAAGAAATTTTCGAGAAATCATACTCATTTTGCTATGGTTAAAATACTGTGTCTTGTATTCTAGCTGGACGTGTCTAGTTATTTAACAACAGTACCAGTTTTAAATAACTAAGAAGTTTTACGAGTAACATTTTGAAAAAACTAGAGCTATTTTGCATAAATTTTGTTTACTCTGCATATTTGAAACAAAGCGGATATTTCAAAATTAAGAAATAAAAAAGTGACTTAAAATGGGACGAAGAATCACTATTTGAATTTTTACTTTTTGCCTGAGGAACACCCTGTATAAATAATCATTATTTTCTCCAATACTATAAACTGGACATCTATGACCATTCCCTCCTTCAGGAATGTCCAAGGTGAATTGAGATAAAACGTTTTCGGTAGAAATTTTTGCATTTTCCATAATTTGATATAGGTTCGATACAAATTCATAACGTAACTTCTTAAAACAATCTTAATTCCACTCGTTCTCCTCTCATCAACATAAATTACATAACGAAAGCATTGCTTCCTAACAATTTATAGCGCACTAACTGTTGACATTGTTTACATCTAGATTCATTTTTCATAGATAACAACTTTATCAGAACTAGTCCAGTGTAGCGTAAATACCAATTACTTCAGGAAAGAATCAAGGGTTGAAAAAGTGTCGAAAATCCAATTTCACACCAATCGGTAATACAATCTTTGGTTCAGATATTTTATTTCCGGTTTCTGACCAAACGCATCATCAAAAAGGAGAGCACAAAAATAAAATTGAATAGAAGACTTCAAAAACTGAAAATTGGTGGCGGGATTGGACAACCCCTGCTATGTTCTTTTGCTCCGCCCACCCGCAGCGCAATGCGCAATCCAATTACGATGAAGAATAGTCCTCACATAGAGGGACGTGGGTCCATTACCAGTGAGTAGGAGCAGAATGCACTGTTAGTTTCTTGTATTTCTATAATACAGTTAATCGTTGTATTCAAGACAAAATTAACAATGTTATGGAATAACTGTCACCTCATTTGATTTCCCAAAGTTGAACGTTGAACGAATTTGCATCCATTAAAGTATGATGACCTGTCTCTAGCCAATACTCAACTAATCACAATGTAGAATAACCAATGCCTGAAGATATCGAAGTAAAATAGATCCCTTTTTGCGTGCCGGATTACAGTATAAATATCGTTGCCCACTACGACGCAAACGAATCTGAAAATATTGCTGGCGTTCGGTAGACTAACAAAGGGCGAACGCTGTACAGCGCTATTTAGTGCTTATTGTCAGATGTCAGCACAGTCTAGATCTCTAGATAGGATAACGAATGAAAGCAGAGTATCATCTATCAGGAGTATAAGGTCTATCGAAATAAAATAGCACCCGTGCCATCTATTACCAGAATCGGCCACTGCAACAGTAAACAGCAGCTGCCCATTGGCACTATTTATTGCATTCAAGATCCGGATGTACTTTGGTGACGTGTCTCATCAATTAAAATAACGAAGGACCAATGAGCCATCCTTGCTTGTCGCCTACCCCAGGAGGTCCTTGGGCTTTAATAGTTTTGCGCGGTGCCATCTCAAAAAATGCAATTATGGCTTCGCGCAGACTCGGCATGTCACAGAGCCTTTCAGACTAATGTATTAAAACACTGTCTAGTAATGTGAAAATAAAAGGAAAAAACAGACGAAGTTCGGTCAACTGTGGCATGCTGCCGCCCTCTTATACAAACTTCCATCCTATGGAGAGAAGCTCTGCAGATGGGTGACAGATTCTCCTCTTCATCTCACAATTAAAACGCGGATGTTCCCTAGGGATCGCTATTGGCTCCCACATTGTTCCTATTACACATCGATGACCTCCTTTCTTGTACAATCAATCCGATCCACAGCTGTGCCAATGACAGCACTCTAGATGCAAAAATTCAGAGCTACAAGCCGCTCTCTGCCATTGAGCTGAATAAAAGAAGACTAGCAGCGACTTCCTCTCTGATAGAGACCTGGAGTCTGGTCTGTTTAGGGTCGCAACGATCTGGTACAGTTTAATGCTTCCAAAACACAGTCTCTGATGTCGATAGATGGTTGTTCATTTCGTCTGGATCACGAGGATTTGATGCGGTACAAAAACATCTTATCAATAGCGGTAGCTGCTGGGATTTTTTATTTGTTTAGCGCTAAAAAGTACTTTTCTCCACATAACCTTCTCTGTACAAAACCCAGATAAGACCTTGCCACAAGTACTTCTGCTAGCGCGGCTGCTTTGGTATAAAAAAGTGTCACCTGTAGGACAGCTAAATAGAATATATTGTCAGATGTCAATTTCATTTAAGTGCAGCAAAACGTCGTACGATGAAGAGAAATTTAAAAAATTTGGTTTAGGTTTGATTCGGCCAAACATGGGGAGCCATTAAAATAAAAGCTGATGTAGAATTCACTTTTCTGTTATGATGTGTTGATCTGAATGCCGGTTCGAGCGCCGTTTCTGTAGAAATGTTTTGCCAAATTTCGTTTCAATGCTTACTTTGAATGCAAACACTGAATATTATTTAATGCGGATAACTGCAATTCGCCGATGCCAATATTGGTCCACGGAAGAAAACATCAGTTTTCACTACCGCTTGTCTCGTGCTTATCCGTGTCCACATCTGGTGCGTAACGCACACGTTCTTAAACCACCGAAAGAAAACCATCGGGACCATTATTATCCGTCAGCGTACCACGTTGGTTAGTTCTGACGATCTGTTGGTTTCGATCTCGCGCGACTTGGCTTCGAGTCTTTTTGCAGCCGAAACCGTTGGAACGTGAAAGTGATAGTTGTCATCGAACCTGGTGGTCTCCTTCAGTTCACTGCTACCATCCACTTGGACCGGATTATATCTACAGACCGTTATATAGTGCTTCGGAGCTTGAAAGTGAATTGTGTGACCATATTGAAGTGATGAACGGTACGGTATTCGCATACATGCATGTAACATACACGTAACTTGCGTAAAAGGATAGTGAAAAGTCAGCATTTAGGGATTATCATCATATATGGTGTTACTTAATGGTAGGCCGTAATTACAAGGGCGAGTTCCTGAACCAAATTTAAGTAGAAAAGTTTATGTAAACATGTCTCCTTAAGAGTCTGGTTTTCAAGATGTAGTATATCAAAGTTTGAAAAAATATTTAGTTTTTTATCAGTATTTCAAAGCCCCTTGAGCCGATTTTGTTGGATTTTGGTAGTGTTATTTATTGCAATATGCCGCTGAGCTAGCACTGATTAGAAGATAATAAGTAGTTTCATTGGCGTCTCGGGGATCTGCCTCACGAATAATATTCATCAAGAAAAGGACTTCAAAAAAATATATATCTTTTTCGAATTAAGCAGATTGAAATCCGACTTTTTTGTCTCTTGATATCTTGTCATATAATACCTACTTTTCACGGAAAAAACATAAAATTACATTATTTGCCGAAAGATTGTTATGATGGCATCAATTTAATTTGATCGATGTACAATATTTATTTGTGAGTCATTTTTGAAATGTAAGGAACGGAAAGTAACGACAACTTGACAAAGGAATCACAAAAAAATGTGGAAATGATCACCTACCGCGGCTACGCTGGCTTCTGTTCTCATATTTTGATATATTTTCACATGTAATAAACTTGTTTTTAGTACTTACTTTCATCATAACTAATTACCTGGATGAAATCGCAATTTTGAGATATTCCCTAATTCTCCAATTAAAAGTGCAAAATACAGTCTACATAAGATTCTGGGTTATGCAAGCTTATTCCTGAAGTGCACATATTATGTCAAAACTGCCCTAAGACACATGAACCTTCGAAATCATTCTATGACGCGAGGTTGCTAAAAACTGTGATTTGAAGACACAAACATTTGTTACTTTATAACTTTAAGGTCCTAAATTACTTTTAATGAATATATTTACAAAATACTCCGAGTATAAGAACACCGACTGATATTCTCTTTGTGTGGATTACTCTGTAAGCAGTGTATCCGTTTTCAAAAGCAATAACATCTACTACGCATCCAAAGTATATCTCTTGCCAATATCGTCAAACAAATCGATATTACTGCAAGCTTGTGACAAAGAAACTAATATCCAGAAAAATGCACACAATGATCTCGCTGACATGTCAAATTTAATATTGTTAACTCTATTTTTTCAGTTCTGGAGAGTTTCCTCGCCTGGTTATAAAAGCTTTTCTCTGTTTGAAAGGAACCTGTTATTTGATAACTCCCGTCAGAAAATCGTATCTTCTCCAGCACCGAATACAATACGGTCTCCTTCAATGATATATAATTTTTCTAGAAATGTGTTACACTTCATACCTCTAATAGTTTAGAATCTTATGTAGCATGACACAATTTTTGAAATACGAATAAGGTGAACAAATGCATCTAAACGTTGATTCAAGGTTTCTCCGTGTTCATCTTTAGCTATCAAAAACCAAAGTCTTAAAAATAGACCATCCAAATTTTATGCAATTGCCAATGATTAATTTTCCGTCTATACTGTGAGGACAGGCTTGATAATTGTGGATGTTTAAAACCATCAATAATAATCAAGTGCCAACAGAGAAATTTTGGCCTAACATCTAAACGTCTAGACGTACTTGAACCTATAATTCTAAATTTTGATTCTAGGGTAAACTCTAGGTAAACTCTCTCAATTTATCGCATCAGCTAGCCTCTAAATTTTTAATTATCACAAAATATTCATGAATAGAGGTAATTAACTAAGATGTGTTCTCCTAGACTGGATAGTATATCTATAAGGACTGACGGGTATTACTTCCAGCGATCTTTGATGTATTGTTTCGCTGAAGTTGGGCTTTATAACTCAAATCAATGTCTTTTCTGTGGATATAATATTTTAACTAGTTCATTTAGAATGACAACACCAGATAATATGTTACTGTACTTAACTGGATTTATGTTTTATAATTCAGGGATGCATACAACGATGTCTCCTATAAAATTATTATACATGACCAACAATAAGGTCAATTGAATTGTTGTCTCACTATTCTGTCATTGTAACGGTATCCTTATGAATTTAAAGCAGAGAGACTAATATTTGAGCAAGTATTAAGCACCGTCGGCATATGTTAACTATGACCTTGGGTTCTGAATGCACATCAAAGTGAAAAAAGTAGAAATATAAAATACTTGCGCGTTTTGTACAAACGTTAGCATCCAAATACAGAAACCGTTTTCTGTAGGAATACATTTTAAATATATTCAGGATTATATAGTGTGGGATTAGTGATATAGTTGCTTCTTTGGTAGATACCTATAGTTTTGTTGCATGGGCATTTGGATAGATCTACATACTACTGAGTTTTGACAAGTAGTTGTTGAGATACCAATATGTGATTTGTCTAAAAAATGACGGTATGGCAACCAGCACCTCGACTTCGACATAGTGAAGTACTGAGTTTTTTGCAAGATAGTTAGTTGCTACCTAGCGTACCCCTTCCTTAAATTGTCAATTAGCTGAGCGGAGTTCTCAAAAACACACAATTTATTGTTCATTTGAACATTCAAATAGGACATCCTCTGAATTTACACATTTCCAAATTTTAGGTACCTAGCCAAATGAGTTTATGTGAGAAAGTCAAACAAGTACGTTTGAAATTGAATGAAACTTTTTGTTAAAGTGCTTGAGATACGGGCTGACATACTTTCAGGTCTTCTGAACTAAGTACATAATACGCAGACGTATTTAGGTATATTTAAATACGTAGTCATGCCATAAGTTCTGTCCCTCGTTTTCAAACAAGTGTAGACCTGTTAATACTTGTCCGATTGTTTACATTGTGGTGTCAGTTGATTAAGCGCTTTTCGGGTAATTACATATACCTCAGTTTGTATTGATCTCTCGAAGCATAACGATGGAGTGGGGCAAGGCAGAGAACCGTATTGCAGTGATAGCTTTACATAAGTGTAATCACAGTGCTAGTCAGATTTTTGAACTCTTACGCGGCCTTCAAATATCGCGTAAATTTGTGTCTAGGACCATTCAGCGGTACAATGAGACGTCCTCTGTTGATGACAGGCCAAGAAGCGGAAGACCTCGTCAAGTAAGGACTCCAGCAGCCATCAAAGCCGTAAAAGCCAGGATTCAAAGGAATCCACTCCGGAAGCAGAAGATCCTATCCAGGGAAATGAAGATTCCTGTCCGGACGATGTCGCGCATCATTAAACAAGACCTAGGGCTAGGGGCTTACCGGAGACGTACGGGCCAGCGACTTACGGTCACCTTGCGACACATCAGGGCGACAAGATCCAAGAAGCTCTTGGAGAGGTACGCAGCTGGGGGATTCCGAAAGATTTTGTTCACGGATGAGAAAATCTTCACCATAGAAGAAAAATTCAACCGACAAAATGACAAAGTGTATGCAAGGAGTTCACAGGAAGCTTCGGAGATCATTCCGAGAGTTGAGAGAGGCCACCACCCTGCGTCAGTCATGGTTTGGTGGGGGGTGTCCTACGAAGGGGTCACTCAGCTCCATTTCTGTAAACAGGGCGTGAAAACAAAAGCGGCAAACTATCAGAGCGACATACTGGATCCTATCGTCAAGCCTTTAAGTGGTACATTGTTTGCCAACCAACACTGGGTCTACCAGCAGGATTCCGCCCCCGCTCACAAGGCTAAGAGTACGCAGCGCTGGCTGGAAAGCAATGTGCCAGAGTTCATTGCTGCGGAAGATTGGCCCTCAGGGAGTCCGGACCTCAATCCTTTAGACTACAAGTTGTGGGACCTGCTAGAGCAGTTGGCCTGCTCCAAAGCCCACCGTAATATCGAGTCCCTGAAAGCGGATTTGATCCGATCAGCGGCAGCTATTCCTTTGGAAGCTGTGCGTGCAGTGATAGATGAGTGGCCCGCGAGATTGAAGCAGTGTGTGAAGGCCAAGGGGGGACATTTTGAATAAAACTGTTTGATTATGAATTCTAAAAATGTTGTCGAATAAATAATATCTTTCATATAAATATATCTTATCTTGTTTCATTTTTATCATGAGATTATCATGGGACAGAACTTATGGCACGACTACGTATATATTATAAATATGAATATCTATAACAAAGAGCTTTGGTATCCAGAAAAGAGGTGGGCCACGGAATTGCAATGTTGCTGAACCGACCAATAACGATGATGATGAGAACGTAAATAAATGTCAAATAGCTATTACATGCATACCGCAACCACAATACGCTGTAATAGGGTACAGGCAGCCCAACTTGAAGTCCCTGTATCTCGGAAACTACTCATAGCTAGACTTTTGCTCTAAGTTTCTTCGGAGTTTATGGCTTGAATTTTATGGTAAACTAGTATATCAATATCATTCCGTACGGCACTCATTTGTGAAAAGCAAATAGTAAACGTCCATCCAGCTTTAGGACATTCAACGCAATTTGTACCCTGGTCTGTAAAAAAATGTGCAATGTTAATGTACATTGTGACGTTCTTCCGGATTGTCAATTAGATAAAATTTCGCAAAAAGTTCACCAATTGAAATCAGTGCTCGAATTAAATAGCTGCAAATACTTCCGTTGACCCAAGGAGCGCTGTTACAAATTGATTTCAAGCCTGTCTCACGTGGAACTGATATGTCAACAGAACATCCTTAGCGTATGTAATTGTGAAGCAAATCAATTTTCTGGATTACTATCATTGGCTTCTCGTCCAAAGCATGAGGGATTACAGTGATTTAAGTTTCCATTACAAAGGATAAGGTTAAGAATAGAAACGTTTCTTAGTCCCCCTGGGAAATGAGACATTTCAGCGAAAATCATTGTTTATGATTGTAAGAAGTCAAAAATAATTATTAGAAACTGGAAAAGTACAGCCTTCCCTAAAGTACAATAATCACTCCCTACTGGATAATAAGGGGGTATATGAAGTGATGCACGCCAATATAGGCTAAA